TTTGGAAACAGGCTAATGTTAGCCTCATTAGCATACTGGAGTAGAGCTAAAAACACACCAGGGACAGATCCAGATAGTCCTCACAGATTCACACAAATGGATGCACACACACACACACACACACACACACACACACACACACACACACACACACACACACACACACACACAGAGTCTCATTTAATTTTTAAAGTTATGCTAATAGGGGTATACAAAATACATACTATTTTTTGGTGATGTAGTCCTGTGATCAGCTCTGAAAACCAAAGTAGTAGTAAGTAGTAGAAGTATTAGTACTTCAAGGGCATGTGTGAACAATTAGGAAATAGACCTACATAATGTAAGTTTATTGGTTTTAGCCCAAGTGCCAGCAAAGATCCCTGGGAAATTTAAGTTTGAACTACATATTTATATATATATATATTAAAGATTTATTAATCTATTTTTATTTTATTTTATTTATTTATTTATTTTATTTTTTATTTTTTGCCTGCCTTCACCAGCAGCTGAACAAACAAATTTAAATGATTCAGACAAACCCTGCAAGAAACATAACAGGACTAACTTAATCTTGGAAGGTGAAGGCAGCTCACATGTACAGTATGTCCACCAGACACCGAAATCTTACTTAAGGACTAATACAGGTGATAAAAGATGTATTTTTCTCAAACAATATTATGGTTTGAATGTTGCAATGAAGATGCTGTAGAGGTCATTTGTAATGACTTGAATAGGAAGGTCAATCACTGAATAATTGTTGCTTTAGCTTCAGCACCGAGTTAAAAGCTAAGGCCAGTCCTTACAGCTTTAATGAACCTTTTGAAAACCAATTGCATCACCACTTCATGTTATTATGCCATTGTGAAGCTCGTACCTTTTAATGAATGAATGCTATTCAGCTGTTCTCCACAAAGGAAACTCATTCTGTTACTTTCTCTTCCTGACGCCACATGTACTTTCTGAGCTCCAGAGATTTTTGAATGTCTGTTTAAAATGATCTTTTAGTTTATGTTGACCTTGCAGTTTATGGTACAATGCAATATTTTTTCTTCAGGTCTTTCAAAGAGATGTCTAAACTACTAATAATGTGTTCAACAACATTTTCTATTATGTTATTTCGAAAGAAAACCATGTATCTTCAAATTTGGTGATTTTTATTTTAAGGAACATTGGAGTTTTCCTTTATGGGTTGATTAAATTCTCCTATTTCTTCAGATACTGCATGGAGGCCATTTAAAAAAACAACTGGATTTGCTAAAATGCATCATCACAAAGCAAAACACAAGTCTGTTTTAGTTTTGGAGATATGTGCTTTTCACCGGACAGAGTTCTAACACATTAATCACTGATGAATGAACAGACACTGTTAGAAGTTGTTAAAATTGGTACCAAAAAAGAAGGATAATCGGTTTGATGTTAAATACTTAGAGCAATCACAGTAATAACAGCTGCTCTTTCATTGATTAATTTGGTGATTAAACAGACAAACCTTTGGACTGCTCTGTCAGAACGAAAACAACAATCTTTTGTCTACAAATGATTTCAGCAGCGTTTTTCTTCTGAGATGAAACTGGCTGCACATGCATCAGACACAATAAGGCTTTACTAAACGTCTCACAATTACAGTCTGACCAACTTTGGACTCATTCCGTCAGAAGTGCATCAGTGATCATTTGTGATATGAAGGAAAGAAAGCACCCGTGTCCCTGGTTTTGATCAGTCACAGTCGTGTTGCCCTCGCTGGAATTGCAAGGGCACTGAACTGTGTGTTGCGTCTGGTCTATTAGAAAGAAGGATTCAAACACTGTGATGGAGAGGAAATATTCTCTGGCCTTGAGCTGCAATGTGGGACATATTTTACTTTGTATTCATAGTCTTGTTTTCACATCTACATAGAGTATATAAGCAGTAAAAATTCATAACAGTCTTTCTTTATCTTTGACTTTTTCCATAAGATTTAAATCTGTCTCAATCCAAGTTTCTCCACCTCACCAATGTTTCAGAGCTTTTCAGCTTCTCCTCACTAGAAACCTGTGTGTGTGTGTGTGTGTGTGTGTGTGTGTGTGTGTGTGTGTGTATGGGGTGTGTGTGTGTGTGGTTGTGTGTTTGTGTGTGGGGGATATGGGTGAGTGTGTAGCTGGTTCTGAATTTTTACTGCTTATATACTCTATGTAGATGTGAAAACAAGACTATGAATACAAAGTAAAATATGTCCCACATTGCAGCTCAAGGCCAGAGAATATTTCCTCTCCATCACAGTGTTTGAATCCTTCTTTCTAATAGACCAGACGCAACACACAGTTCAGTGCCCTTGCAATTCCAGCGAGGGCAACACGACTGTGACTGATCAAAACCAGGGACACGGGTGCTTTCTTTCCTTCATATCACAAATGATCACTGATGCACTTCTGACGGAATGAGTCCAAAGTGGTCAGACTGTAATTGTGAGACGTTTAGTAAAGCCTATTTGTGTCTGATGCATGTGTGCAGCCAGTTTCATCTCAGAAGAAAAACGCTGCTGAAATCATTTGTAGACAAAAGATTGTTGTTTTCGTTCTGACAGAGCAGTCCAAAGGTTGTCTGTTTAATCACCAAATTAATCAATGAAAGAGCGACTTGTTATTACTGTGATTGCTCTAAGTATTTAACATCAAACCGATATCCTTCTTTTTGGTACCAATTTTAACCAACTTCTAACAGTGTCTGTTCATTCATCAGTGATTAATGTGTTAGAACTCTGTCCGGTGAAAAGCACATATCTCCAAAACTAAAACAGACTTGTGTTTTGCTTTGTGATGATGCATTTTTAGCAAATCCAGTTGTTTTTTTAAAATGGCCTCCATGCAGTATCTGAAGAAATAGGAGAATTTAATCAACCCATAAAGGAAAACTCCAATGTTCCTTAAAATAAAAATCACCAAATTTGAAGATACATGGTTTTTCTTTCGAAATAACATAATAGAAAATGTTTGTTGAACACATTATTAGTAGTTTAGACATCTCTTTGAAAGACTGAAGAAAAAATATTGCATTGTACCATAAACTGCAAGGTCAACATAAACTAAAGATCATTTTAAACAGACATTCAAAAATCTCTGGAGCTCAGAAAGTACATGTGGCGTCAGGAAGAGAAAGTAACAGAATGAGTTTCCTTGTGGAGAACAGCTGAATAGCATTCATCATTAAAAGGTACGAGCTTCACAATGGCATAATAACATGAAGTGGTGAATGCAATTGGTTTTCAAAAGGTTCATTAAAGCTGTAAGGACTGGCCTTAGCTTTTAACTCGTGCTGAACTAAAGCAACAATTATTCAGTGATTGACCTTCCTATTCAAGTCATTACAAATGACCTCTACAGCATCTTCATTGCAACATTCAAACCATAATATTGTTTGAGAAAAATACATCTTTTATCACCTGTATTAGTCCTTAAGTAAGATTTCGGTGTCTGGTGGACATACTGTACATGTGAGCTGCCTTCACCTTCCAAGATTAAGTTAGTCCTGTTTGTTTCTTGCAGGGTTTGTCTGAATCATTTAAATTGTTGGTTCAGCTGCTGGTGAAGGCAGGCAAAAAATAAAAATAAAATAAATAAATAAATAAAATAAAATAAAAATAGATTAATAAATCTTTAATATATATATATATAAATATGTAGTTCAAAACTTAAATTTCCCAGGGATCTTTGCTGGCACTTGGGCTAAAACCAATAAACTTACATTATGTAGGTCTATTCCCTAATTGTTCACACATGCCCTTGAAGTACTAATACTTCTACTACTTACTACTACTTTGGTTTTTCAAGACTGATCACAGGACTACATCACCAAAAAATAGTATGTATTTTGTATACCCCTATTAGCATAACTTAAAAATTAAATGAGACTCTGTGTGTGTGTGTGTGTGTGTGTGTGTGTGTGTGTGTGTGTGTGTGTGTGGTGTGTGTGTGTGTGTGTGGTGTGTGCATCCATTTGTGTGAATTCTGTGAGGACTATCTGGATCTGTCCCTGGTGTGTTTTTAGCTCTACTCCAGTACTAATGAGGCTAACATTAGCCTGTTTACAACACTGTCATTAGCAGCTGGTTAACTTTTGCATTCACCTAAATGCTGTCATTGGCACTGTCTAACTTCTAACACACCATGTACAAACAAAGGATTTGAAATTGTTTGCCACTTTCAAGTTCGTGATTGGCGTTGGGGACCACCACAACATTTAACTCTCCATACTTCTTGAATAATATTCAGCTGAATGACACTGCTCCTCCCTGCTGTGCACAAATAAAGAAAGTAAACTATTTTTCCCACAACCTGTCTGGATCTTTGTGGCAGAACATTTACTCTTTACGTGTTTCACCATGTGTCAGAATCTAATCCATGGTGTCCTGAGATATCAAGTGTGCTTTTGGGCAAACAAACATCTGAACAAATGACTGGAGGCCAACTAATCCACTCTCCTCCCCCGGGATTTCATTACAAAAGTCCAG